CAAATTGTTCAATACCACCTTTAGATTCCCCCCAAGTTTTCATTAAGTGTAAACAGGCTTTAGATATTTCCTTGAGATATAGCAAGGGCTCTTAAGGTCATGAAAATAGTTAAATATATTATATCACATAATTACCACTATAATAAGTACTACTAAAATTTTCATTCCATTCTGTGAAATCAATGCAAAGCTAACTCTTGCCTTATATATTTGTTTTTTATTATTGCACTGCCAAATTTGCATTAATATGTGGCTCTCAAACTACTTGATGGGTCAGTATCATCAAAAACCAATTATATATTTTTAAAATATTTTATTTATTATTTCTATTTTATGTGTGTGTGTACTGCCTGCATATATATATAAGTGTACCCATGTCATATAATGCCCATGGAGGTCAGACACAGTTGTTGGATCCCTGGGAACTAGAGCTATGGATGGTTGTTAGCTACTATATGGGTGCTGGGAACCAAATCCTGGTCCTCTACAAGAGCAGCCAGTGCTCCTAACCATTGAGCCATCTCTCCATTCCCCAATTTTGTAATGTTCTAATGGTATTGGTCTTCAAGTAAAATATTGCTTATCTGTTAGCGTCAATTTCCATGAAGACTTTAGTGTTTTGTTCATGTACATACACCAAAAAATATTGCACTCAAAATCTTTATGTATTATAGGAGAGATAATAATTCCCCAACTTTAATTTAAGGGTGTATATGTTGTTGTTCCAGCTAGAGAAACAAGGAGGAATGTGTTAGTCAGTTTCTGTTGCTGTGATGGAACACCCGAGGAAACAAATTTAAGAGGAAGGCTTTATTTGATCTCATGGTTTCAATAGTTCTGGTTCATGATTTCTTGTTTCTGTTGTTTCTAGGCCTCTGGTCAGGTAGATAATTGTGGTGGAAAATGCTTGGCAAAGCAGAGCTACCTACTTCAGGGCAGCTGAAGAGCAAACATTGGCAGGAAGGAGCCAATGACAATGTATACTTTTTCAGAGGCATGCATGCAGTGACCTACTTCCTACAATCAGGCCCCACCTTCTAGTTTCTACCATAGCTGAGCAGTACCTTCAGATCATGAATCCATCAATGGCACAATCACTTTATTAGATAAAAATCCTCATATCCAACTCTTCTCCAAACTTTCACCTCTCAATATTCTTTTTGTGAGCAAGTCTTCAACATATGAGTTTTTGAGGGATAGTTCATCTCCAAACCACAAGGAAGAATATTCAATTATTAAGGCATGGTGAGTCTTCACAAAGAAAGTTTGGCATTTAAGCTGATGCCAGGACTATAAGAACATGTTGAAATGGGCTGTTCTTATTATTTATCAACTCAGGTGTGACTATGTGTGTGCACTGTGGGTGGAGACAAACACAAGCAAAAACAGAAGAGAAATAATGATGAATTGGATATTCAGGAAATGGAAGTAATTACATAAATCTGTAAAGACAGGCAGGCAAGTATACAGACACCAGGTAAAGAATCACCTCTTTGTGTCTCTTCAAGGCAATGTGGTGACTGTCTTATATCATCAAAAGTTGTCCCTTTGGGTGCATTTTGTTTAAGATTTATAGTTATGGTGTGAAGTGTGCATAGGAGGGGAATCAAGGACATTCAAGAAGGGAAGAAAATAATAGTGTGTTGCCCCTGAAAATATGGGGGAAAGAGGATGTATGGTAAGTCACAGATGAAAGGAATTGGCCCCAACTAGACAGAAGCCAACATTTCCTTTGTGACAAAAGACGAAAAGAAAAGACAGAAGTGAGAGCATAGATTCATTGAATAATTAACTTTTGGCACGCTATCAAACACTTTCATATAGTACATCATCTAATCTTTGCAAACTATTCTCTTCACTTTT